TTCGATGACACGCATGTAAGCACTGAACACTGGAGAACGTAGACAGCTTGTACTCTCTAGGCCTAACGTTAGAGGACGTAGAGACACTATCCCCTGCTAATTAAAACGCCGAAGCCTAGATCAGGCTACGTCATGTGTTGAAGGCAAAATATAAAGTGCATGCAGAGATAACATTTTTAGGTATTGTATGACGACACTGCGGACAGGAAATAGATTCTGAATCTAGTGCTTACCGAGTTGCACCGCCTTGTTGTTGTTATTCAAGCGTCTTTTGACTTACTTGCTCGAACTCAAATGATTATGATTATGAGAGACGAACAAGACTACTTTTGTGCAAACAATGTCAGAAACAATTATTGTTTGATCTAGATCTACCCAATATTGATCGGAATAAGACAATCTCATTTAAAAAAGGGAGTCAAATCCAAGGAGATTTATCAAGAAACTGAGAAAGCTTCCACAGTTCAGGCAGAACTACAATATTACTATGTAGAAATGATGGCTACTAGATTCTAGTTGATCTACTGTGGCGTTTCAAACAGCATGGGAGCTATTCAGAACGTGGTGATTCAAATAGCACGGGAGCTAATCAGAACACAGCATTTCAAATAGCACGGGAGCTATTCAGAACGTGGCGTTGCAAAAAGCGCCTGCCTATTTTTAGAGCGAAAAAGATAATTGAAGGTTAAGATGACTTGTGGCTTCTACTGTGGCTGATGAGTTGAGTAGTCAAAAGCTCTACTTTCACTTAAGTGCATGAGCGCAGGCGCAGCTTGTAGACTTCTCTCTTGGTTTTAGCATTTCTTAATCATAATTACTATTAGTAAAATCTCATATATGACTTGCTGCTCTCCAGCTGGGTCTGTCAGGAGCTACACTCTCCCCCCATGCTGAAGGATTTATAAAATGCACGTTGAAGTCCTGCTTAGAGTCATTTTTTTTCATTCTCAGACTCAACTCAAGGTGTCCAAACAAAAATCGGGAAGAGTTCCACAGAGGACCAGCACTTACTGTGACTGTGACAAGGCTGTCACAAGGTCCACTGAGCAGACTAGAATCTAGATCTAGATCTATACAAGAGCTAGGGTTAGGGTTAGGCAAGTTAGGGTTTAGGGTTAGGGTATAGGATAGGGACATGCTGTTAAAAACACATATATGTACAGAAGGCGCATCTTTCTGATAGGCTGCTAATTTTAGTAATGTGATGTCATCACTTCCTGGGATATCCACAGACTCCGTTGAGGTACCGCATGGAATGACGTGTTTTCAGTAACATTTCGGATTTCCTAGATGTAGATCTAGATCTAGTACTTGGACACGATGGAAGATCACTCAGATCTACATACATCTAGATCTAGATCGTTGATGCTCAGAACAGTAAGATTAAGAACACTGTCCATGTTTGAAATTGAGACACTGTAAACGCAAAGACAATATCCCGCACGAAAATTGCTGTAAAGACGCTGGAGGATTAAATCTAGATCTAACCCCCAGTGTCAGCAGAGACTATATAACTAAATACTCTCTGGTGTCACGTACACCGGTTACAGTGTACGTAGATACTGAGACTAGGTGCCCAGTTACCATGTACGTAGACACTCCGTTTAAAAAACCCCCAACTACAAAGCAACAAATTATAATTTATGGGACAAACTGTTGGTCAGTCGGGAGGTGAGGATAAATTATTCTAATTTCATACTATTCTACGTGAGAATAATGACAGCCTACTATTCTCACCAGTTTTTTTCGTTTCGGGCATCATTTGAAGGCTCCAGGCGACAAAACTCGCCTCCCTCTCTCACTCCGTTGAGCGCGTGAGGCGACTAAAATCGCCAACAGGCGGGCCAGCTCTCGGGCGCGGGAGGCGACTATTGTCGATTTGGGAGAAAACCTTATCTTTTGAGCAAATAGCGTCACCTTTTGTTACTACAGTATTAATTTATTGGTTCTGTAATGGAAAATTTTACTCTTGAATGGTTTAACCAATCAAAATTAAGAAAAAAATAAGCCTAGGGTCAAGGCACTGCGTTCCTTAAAAATAATCGTGGGTTCTGCTGGGGAAACAATTAAACATGTTTTTTTGTGTTGTAAACAAATGCCAATTCTAACTTTACAAATCACAAACTATTCTATTATTTCATAAAACAGCTTTCAGTTTTAAAGGTTATTATTTTAAAAAAAATATTACTCTGGCAAGTGAATTCCTTTCTGAATTTAGAATGAATATACAGTCAAACCTGTGTAAGACGGCCACCCTTTGTCAAGGAGAAAAGTGGCCGTATAAGACAGGTGGCCATCTTAGGCAGGACTGATCAAGATAAAGAAAACAAACCATTCCCATCTGAGGCCCCAATCGAAAGTAGCCTCATTATGTTGTCTTTGTAGGTGTTGTTGTTGTTGGTTTGTATTTCGTTTGTAATTTTTATTTTGTCGCTGATTTTGCACAAGGGTGACAATAAAACGAAATGTATCATACAAGGAAGACCGAGTGCCATGTTAAAACAAACACATGGGTCGCCACCACTCGGAGAACAAGCGACGCTTCTGTAACAAGAAGTTCATGTTGACGTCCTTTGTTACAGACTGCGTAAACAGTGACCACTCATCTCACTTACGATTAGTGTAGAGTTCTGGGCGGGGCTGATGGGTTATGAGGGATCACACGCTTACCTCGCCAGCAGCTGAAAATTGGTAGCTATTGGTCAACAGTGGGAGGGGCATACGCAACATGATCGGTTGGAGGGACTACCTAACAACAACGACAGGTGATTGAATTATGACGGCTCGCCCACAACGCCAGGGGCCAAAGCACAATTTATGACAAAACGTAAAGGAGTCACTAAGGTGTTATTGCTTAGTATGATAGGGGTTGTGTGTTAAATTATGGTGGCCGCGGCCGCGTTGGACAGGTGCCCGTTTTACACAGTTAAATTATATAGAAAAAACGCAAGGGGGGAAATGGAAAGTGTCCGTTTGTACAGGTGGCCGTCTTATAGAGGTGGCCGTCAGGCCAGGTTCGACTGTATTTGCACTTGTCTAGGGTTTTGGTGAAGACATGCCTGCATACTCTCAACTCAAGATTAAAAAAAAAATAAAACAATAATAATCCCTGCGGGAGCCTAGAAAAATCGGCCAGCGCTCTCGGGCAGGTCACGAACAGTCAGTGTCTTACAATTCACATATTATTTTCTGTCATCCGTTCTCAACACCCAGGTAGACCTAAAAATCTATTGCATTCTCAGACCGGGTGAGAAAAATGGCGGTCATTATTCGGACCATGAAAAAATGTTATTCGGACACGGTCTGGAAAAAAGGAAGTGTCTTCGTTCTATAGAGATCTAACGTTCAGTGCTTCCAATTTTCCGCCATTTTTTAGTTCCCCCCACACTTTATCTGCCGATCCGATGCCCGCCGCCTCATTGATACGCCCCCCCCCCCCCCCCACACCCCCCATGTTTCCCACTTTCCTTGTTGTAGAAAAAGGTACAATTGAAGATAAACAGATCACCTGGCACCTGTATTATAATGAGCTGTGTAAAAAAAAAGACCGATTCGTTCAAATACACAAGCCTGTGTCATCTCGATTGTTTTACCAAGAAAAAGTTGTGTTGCTGTGTAGAGCAGAGCATACGGCAACTCTTGATTCCATAGACCAGTGCACAATACATTACGTAGATCTACGTCAAGACTAGCTTATTATTGTAATGATCAGTTGCCGGGGGGGGGACGAGTATGCGACATTCAACGCCCGGACCGAAAGTGCCCCCCCCTCCCTGAGACGCACACACAGCCACACGTGTGCAGGCCACCCATCCGACCCCGACACACGCTAACGAGCCATCTTTAATTGCTTCTGATGACCTCTTGACAAATAAACATTTATTAGAAGCGCTTTAACTTTTCAGGCCGGCCTCAAATTCATCATAAGATAAAAACTCGGCTCCTGCACAATTTAACGCCATTTTGTGCGAAGTGATCCCGGTTTCTACCCAGTCTGAGGCGAGTCACGAGTGAGGCAGGACAGGAAGCCGGAGTCACGAGTCCCAGGAAGTCGGCAGTGATGTCATGCTGGAACAAGAATCAGAGTCCGAATAACATTTTTTCATATTCGGACTCGGGTGAGAATAACAATATATATAATATTATTCTCACTTGAGAATAAAATGGATATCCGGGTGAGAATAACATTAATCTATGTTCTTATTTTCACCCCGGGTGAGAATAACGACAGCCGGAAAAAAAAAAAGTCTGGGACCAGGATCGAATCGCTCATAACATAAAATCTTTGCATGACTTCAAACGCAGACGCGCTGTCTTTTCGGCCATCAGAACTTCGGACAGCGAGAGGTAGATGCTTAATAACTTAATATATACACAGAGACACTTCCATCTTTGGTGCCATGCGGTAGGCTATATTTAGATGTAGTCACGTGATCGGAGGAGTATCCTGGTCCGACGTCAAACAAGATGGGCGCCACACCTAAAAATATTGGCGCTTTTTCGGTAGTTCCCACCCCGCAATTGTTATTCACAGGTTTAGGCCCCAAGAGTAGGGGGGTTTCAGGGGAGCTTGCCCCCCTGACCTAATACCTAATATCTAGATCTAAATAAGGTGGGGGGCCCCCTGAATTATTTTGCGTCCTTCTATGTTAAATCGCATGTAGGATAGGGGGCCTACTCCGCTCAAAATCCCTCTTTTGTGGGCTGTTGTTGGTCGGCCGGCCCTCTGCAGAACTCCTTCCCAAAAAATCAGTTAATCTAGATCTAGATCTTGATCTAGTCTAGTAGGTAGTTAGATTAGAAATCTAGATCTACATCTAAATCTAGATTGATCTCTAGATTCTACAGATCTCCTAGTGAGTGTAATGTAGTGTAGGCCTTATTACTGTAAATTAAACTAAGCAGATTTCTAGATTCTTAGGATCTAGGTTCAAACTTCAAACTAGTCTATCTAGATCTACGACCTAGATATATAAATATATTTAGAATCTTGGTCTTACTTGTTCATCTGACGTCTTTGTAGCTATGCCTTCATCTTCAAATTTTCTTTTTTCAGAATTCACAGACAAGCAACGGAATCGTGATTTTTCCATCTCTGCACAAGGTTTGTCAGTTAGCATTTTTCCTTCACACTTTGCGTCTTCTCTTCAACAGCAATTCAGCTGTTCGATATCCGCGATAAATTTCATCCAACTTTTGCCTTTGCAAGGCAAGGAAGGTAACTCGCATCAACATCCGTTGAAGGGCTGTAAGTCGTGACAGACAAATGACAACACACAGATAATCTGTGCGCCGCTAGGACTTGGACTTGGAGCACTAGCCTACTTGGAAAATAGTGTAGTCTGTAGTTGCTTCCATTTATCTTGGTGCCGTCAGACTTAATTAAAAGTATGACAGTCGATGCTTCTGGGAAAGGGTTTACCCTTCCCTCAGGCCCGACATCGCTATGCTTTGACAAAGAAGAATTTATGAAGGTAAGTTGTTAGTTGTTAGGATAGGATAACTCTACTCTAGACCTAGATCTATAATAACAATCTAGAGATAGATCTAGATCTAGATCTAGATCTAGATCTAGATCTAGAGATCTAGATCTAGACTCTAGATCTAGAATCTAGATCTCTAGAGACTAGATTCTAGACTCTAGGTCTGTCTAATCTAGATCTAATTTCTGGATCTAGATCTATTCTATATCTATATCTATATCTAGATTAGATTTATAGATCTAGTAGATCTAGATCTAGATATCTAGATCTAGATCTAGATTTCTAGATCTAGATTTAGATTCTAGATTCTAGAATCTAATCTAAGTCTGAGGCCTAATAGTAATAGATATCTAGAAGTCTAAGGCTAAGGGCTGTCATTCTCAACTTCAACAATATGAATAGAGGCCTAACAATGAAGCGGAGGGAGGACTTCCGTAACGAGCGATCACTATGAGACAGAGTAGAACAGAGGGTGGATAGGAGTAGGGTTTGGGGTAAGGGACGGGTAGGGTTTGCAGGGCTTGAATTAGATGTTCAGGAGGGCAGGCAAAAATTGCCTCGGTGGGGCCAAAAAATCAGAGGGCCCGGTCAGGGCACCGAGGCAATTTGCCAGGGCACCAAGGCAAAAATTATAGGTGATCATTTTGTTGATTAAAGTTGGTAATACTGGATCGTGCATCACACTTATATAAATAACAATTATATTTATTTTTGCTCTCTACAAAAGGATAGAGTTATCGGAAATTCTTTAAAATCATGAATGAAAATTAAGTAGATCACAGTAAAATCACACCAAAACAAAATCACAAAAAATCAGTTTTAAATCAAATAATGATCACGATTGCATCTGCCTTTTAAATACCTTCATGACTAGATTATCTAGCTCTTATTGATTGGATTAAGATGAATGAATATGACTTTTGACAATAGGGTGTGATAAAAAACAGTAAATAATATGACCAATTAGGTAAGACATTTTAAAATCATTTGAGATTCTAACAGAGTGGTCTACAGGCAGTGTAGTGATAAAATAAAAACAAATCATGGTAAATGAAAACAAATTTTGAACTTGTATGAAAAAAACAAAAATGAGGAGTGAAAACATGTAAAACATGTTTCTGAATTTTCAGAAGGACTTTGAAGTTGACAAGTTCATTCTGGAATGTAAGAAGAAAGTGCCTCTGGAAACACTGCGAGATGACCTGGACCTGTACTTGAAAGTGGTTCGAAGTGCCATGATTGAGCTCATCAACAAAGACTATGCAGATTTTGTTAACTTGTCCACCAACCTGGTATGTTTTCAGCCCACAGACATGGGAAAAAAAAAAAAGAACTGTGTTGTTTTAAAAGGTCTGAATTTGTTCAAAGCGTTATAAAGGTAAAAAATATTTTGTCTTCATCATTTGTTATAAGACATGATGTGGTCTTATCTTGGCCATATTATCTTATATTAAATTAATTATTATTAAATTATTTAATTTTCATTATTTTTATTATTATGTCATGTTAAAGATCTAAATGGACAATTTACAGAGTGTAGTTTGAACTTACTCTTTTGTCTCTCAATTTTCTTGAATATCTAGGTTGGAATGGATAAAGCTATCACCAACTTGACTGTACCCCTCGGCCAGCTGAAAGAGGAAGTTTTGGTAAGCTCTTATTTTTATCTTGTTCACTCTCTTGATAAAGTGTTGAAATGATAAGAGTCATGTCATTGTCTACAAATGTAAACTGATTTTCAGTGCAGTACTTAGAAGGGGCAATGAAAGCTTCGTGTTCCATTAAATTCTGTAACTGAGACTTACAAGAGTCTTGATGCTTGAACAGGAACATCTTATTGGCACACAGACATCTGCCCTTGTGGTGTAGCAGAGGAATACAAAACAAAAAAATGAAGTTCAAAACTAGTTTCTAATGTTTTGCCAAGACCAAGAAAGCCCCCCCAAAACAATCCTTTACTGCAGTACCAATTTTTTTGTTAAAAAAAAGTTATATATCAGGACTCTGATTGCCGTTGAGCCGATTTAATCTGCTGTGTTTGAGTTCAAAACAATTGGCATAATTAGAGATGAGTGATAAATTCAGTATCAAGAAATGTTGCATTGTTCCTTTTTTAAAGTTTTTGTTGCTCTGTCTTTGTTATCAGTATTTTCTTATTTGTTTTACCTGATGTCTTTGCTTGGTTGCAGAGCGTGCAAACAGCAATGGATGAAGCCATTCTAGCCGTGCAGGAGAAAATTAGACAGCAGCAAGAAATACAGAGGAAAAAGGTAGCGCCTTTGTCTTCTACACTATGCAATAGTAAATTATGGTAATCGTAAAGTTATTTCAGCATTCATTTCTTGACTGCTGATCCCACTGTTTTGTTATGTTTGTGTTGTTTTCTGGTTTTCATTTCCATTCTCTCATGGATTTATTTGTCTTCCCTTGAAATATTTTTGTTTTATTTTCTAAAGGTTATTAGAATTTGGAATTTATACTTTGCTAACAAGTATAAAAATGCTCTTTACTTTAAAATACAGGTTTATTCATTTTATGCTATGTTTGTATAGAAATATTTGTTCCTGTAAAAACCAGTGTTATATAAAATATCTTTGAAGAGAATGAAACCTTTGAAATGTGTAGATTGTGTCATATTTTTTGGTTTGCTGTTGCATGACATTTTGAATTGAATTGTCATGATTTTTTTTTCTCCATCAGACAATGCTACAAAGACTGATGAATATAACCCACTCTGTCGAGAAAATTGAGAGACTTCTTGGGATTCAACAAGGAGCAGAACCTTTGTCACCGGGGTAACAGGAAACAATATTTCTAGATTATTTAATTAATTTTTGTTGGCTAATGTTTGATCTTGTTTCTTTTTAATGTTTTGAAATACTGGTAGTTTCCTTCCTTGTCTGCATCTGCATTTCACTAACCTCCTCTACCCCTATCATCCACCGAGACGACAGACTCCTATAATGTGTGTGCTCATGCACCTGAAAAACAAAAGTGGAATTATGCATGCTTGACAGATTACATATTTTCTCTGTCCCGCCTAATAAAAGAACAACTCCATGTTAACTGATAACTTCTAAAAACACAGGTTCACCTTTAAGGAAATGGAATTCTTTCTTTCAGGCAGCTGACTGGACCTTTGATTGAGAGAGTGGCTACTGAATTTAACAAACTACAATTTTATGTGACTCGAAGCAAGGGCCAACCTTTAGTTGAAAAAGTTAAACCAGTAAGTTGATTTTTTAAAAATAATTTTTTGTTATGCAACTCTTGTAACTAACAACAATCTTGTTGTATGAATGTGAGACGTGGAGTGCATCCCATATGTGCATAAAGAGGATCCAGGTTTTCTTGAACAAGTGTCGGAGGAGGCTGCTAAGGATCAAATGGACAGACAGGATCACCAACGAGGAAGTATTAAGAAGAACCAGACAGAGCCCGGTCAGAGATGAGGTGGGAAGAAGACGTTGGTGATGGATTGGACACACTCTCAGGAAGTCAAGAAGCTGCTTAACAAGAAAAGTGTTAGATTGGAACCCACAGGATAAAAGATCAAGGGGAAGACCTCGTTGAACCTGGAGAAGAGTCACAGAAATGGATGTACAGAAAAGTGGGAAGACGTGGACTAGCCCAGGATAGGGAAAGGTGGAGAGTGTTTGTTCGTGGTCTATATCCTGACCCAGGGTGAGAAAGGCAATGATGATGATGAACAACAATAATGATGGACCTCATATGTAATAGCTCATTTCCAGTCCATGAATGCTACCAGTGCTTTTTAGCAAAGATTACCCCAATGTTCTAACTCATTCATCTATAGTTAAGATAAGATAAGATACATCTGTATTGTCCAGATCCTGGCACATTGGTTTGGTGTTTCACACACACACACACACACGCACGCACGCACGCACGCACACACACACACACACACACACACACACACACACACACACACACACACACACACACACACACACACACACACACACACACACACACACACACACACACACACACAGAGGCTTACAATCACATGCTTAATATAAATGAGCAGCAATATAAACAATAATAATCTTAAGCTAGATACACACTCAATGTTATTCTGATGCATCCTCTTCAGGTGGTAAGTTAGCAATGCCAATGAAAATTTAAATTTTCACTTTTGCCCCCTTTTTTTTGGTACCTAAGAAAGAATTTTCAATTCTAATAATTATGCTTCTTGAATTTTGAGAATCGGTTCATAAATAAAAAGGTTATGGGGTTGTAAAGGTCGGCAAAATATGGATGACCCACATATAGGAAAATACTCCTAAAAAGTGGACCACGCAGTAGCAGATTCTGTAAGAAAATCGACGATATCTCGGTAACTAATCCAAATGTTCGAGAGAAACTTGGCTACCCGATGTGTTTTTGAGTGTAGAAATCATTTCTGCAGTCAGATTAACTACCAATTTCGTAGTTATTTTGTTATAATTAAAATTGTGGTGTACATATTACGATTTTGCGAAAAAGGGGTGTCGGGATGAGTCCATTTTATTTATAGCATCGTATCACAACATGGGATCTTTAAGAATATATGTCGGCAGCGTGACTAAATAATTGCAAAGCTTTTTATGATGACTTTAGACCATGCCAACCGTAAAAGATAAGTTAATTCAATCTAGCATGCCGTACAATTAAAAATTCTTTTTCCACGTTGAGACGCGAACACCCCGAGACGAGATAACCTCGCCTCGGAATACCCCCATTGCGATGTTACAGGGGAATAGAGAGAAAAACAACCGGATGCGCGCGCCCGCCATTGCCCTATTTCAAGTGACCAATGAACGGGCCCGGAATAGTCATGCGGGGATTTGTAGGTCACAGACATTTGCCACGGGAGTGAAGGGAAAATGGCCGGTCTCCGTGCGAAGCCGCTTTGGATAGGGGGGGTAGTCGTAGATTTACGATCGGGTCTAAACAACTACTTGACACAGAGCTCTCAAATTTGAGCACACTATAGAGGATAGATAGATCTATTACCATCTGGGCGTTGAAATTCAAACTCCTTATAGTTTTCGGTGTACACGATACGAAAGTGTTCCCGACACCAAAAGTATAGGTTAATTTATGTGTACGAACTTCAACGTCCACATATCATTAGTTTGCCCTATTTTCTGATTGGTAGCCGAGTTTCATTCGGATTGGTTCGGAAATAGAGCAGACCGAGGTTGACAAAGTTAGTCACCTACGCTTCGGCCGGGTCCGCAAAATCGCCCGTAAACGGGGACCAAATTTTCGCCTCGCGGGAAAGCCCGATTGGCATTGCTAGGTAAGTATACTTATACAAGATGGTTAAGCTAGAAGCATTTTGATAGATGATGGTAAAAATGACCTTCTATTTCTTTTTTTTGTTACAGATCAGAAGCCTAGGTCTTTTACTTCTGACTGATGTTTTTGTTTGAGGGAACAAGGGATGTTTGTTGTCTATAAAGATGGAATTAATTTTTTTAGTGCAAGCTGTTATGTACAATTCACCCAAGTAGGGAAATGTAGATGTTGAAATTTTACATGCTTTACGTATTAGTCAATATAACTTTTCTTTGTCTTGCTGACTTGTGTTCCCGGCCCATTCTGTTATACAAAAATTGTTCATACTTTCAGCAAAAATAAACATGGACTCCCCCTCTCTTTCTCTCTCTCTTTTATGATGTTTGTCATCGTCAGACATCGACGGACAAACTATTATTATTATTATTATTATTATTATTTTTATTTTTATTGTTGTTATTATTATTATCATCACTATTAGTGTCACTATTATTATTATATTATTATTATTATTATTATCACTATTGTTATCACTATTATTATAATTGTTATAAAAAGTTATCATGATATTTGTTGCAGAGGATTGCTGCCATCACAACAACACTGCAGTACAGCTTAGAGGGATCATTTTTGTCTGGCCTTGAAACCAACAACACCGCGATGTTGCGGCAGTGTCTGAGAACCTATGCCCTCATTGACAAGACGAGAGATGCTGAGGACCTGTTCAGAGAACATGTTGTCCGTCCTTACATGGAAGAGGTGGGTTTTTCAAGTCTAATCTTTATGAGTTTATTGTTTATTCTTTTGAAGTTCAGTTGTATATATGGGTATTTGATTCTTGTTTCGTTACATGCATTTGTTAGGTTACATTAAACTACCTAATTGTATTGAACCAACTTTTTGATAACCTACACTTCATTTCATTGTCATTGACCATCTCCAACCCCTTATATGGAACAAGGAAATTGGGTGGTTAGCAGGTGCTCTGGTGTGGTTTGCTACTTCTTTCCTAGCAAACATCTATCATCTTCGTCACTCCTCCTTCTCTTATATGTATGTTACTCTGTAGTAACACTCCTAATCTTCGGCACTTATATGAGGCAATTGTGTTACAAGTGCTGTAAAACTTCTACTAAAACAAAACGAATAAGAAAACAGCAGAAGTTCAGCTACATGATATAAAACGGAGGATTGAAAGCTCAGCAATTACTGCATTGATGACAACAACAGCACTAATGAGAATAACATTTCTGGTCATGATATATATAATTATAATATGATGCTCGTAGATCCAGAAATGTAATTTATCTTCATAAACTCTACCAGGCTCAAACAGTTTGTTTCATGTCTTTTTAAGCATTATGTTTTGTAGTGCCTACTAGAAATTTGATTTCGGCATTTATATAACCTATTTGTGTTGCAAGTGCCATAAAGCTCTTATTAAAACTTAACAACTCTTTACTCTTACTAAAACTAAAAGTTTTTAATATGATCAATAATAATTATTTTCTTTAATTTTCATGATTTTGAGATGTACTGAAAATTGAAAGTCATTGATATTTCCTTTATGCTGATGAAACTGTGATATTGGATACCAATTTCATTATGCTATGATGTTGTGTCGTGAACAGAAGCTCTTTAATATCGGTTGCAGGTAATAACGGAGGAATTCTTACGTCGGCATCAGAATGATGTATCTACAATGTTCTCTGAGGTGCTACAATTTGTTCCCCAAAAATGTTCAACTTTAGTTGGGGTGACTTCTGGGACAAGGTTTGTAAGCCTTCTGTTGTTCAGATTCTAAAATTAAACATTTTGAAGTAGAAATGTTATTTTTACACTGTACATTGAAAATATCTAGAAGACAGCAAAGTTGAGTTGTAGACAGGTTTCAAAAAAGATTTTTAAAAGTTCTAGGATACTCGTATAATAGAATTTGCTCAAGACAGTATTGTAATTCTACTTTTTCTCATATTCAAATTGAAGGAATAGGAATGAGTTAATTGGTTATTTGTGCCAATTTTTTAAACTGCTTCCTCAAGAATCTTTTGAATGTACTGTTTTTTTCAATACTTGTATTCTAATTTCCAGTGGTGGTGAGATTGTGAGAGGCTATGATTTCACGGTGAATGCCGTTTTCCCAGAGATTGTCAGTGGGTTGGAGTTAAGAACATCATCAATTTTTGCTCCAGGAAATCCAGAAGCCTTTCATAAGGTGAGAAATATTATAGTTGCAGTGTAGCATACTTTTGATGCTTTGGGTTCCACTCTAGGAAAAAATATTAAATGATGTGTCCATTTAAATTCAGTAGTATAATCTTTAAAAATACCTAATCACAGGTTGAGTGCATTTGTCTGTATGAAACAGCAGGATACTTTCTTGTTGGTACCAAGGCCACAATGGAAACATTTTTCGGGTCTAAAAGTATATTTTCTTTTGAAGATTTACCTTATTTGTGAATATTTTACTGAAGCTTTTCTCCAAGAATGTGGTGAGACTCGATTAACTGGAATGAATTTCTCATAACAGTGCAACAGTTAAGACTTGCATAAACAATCATGCTTGTGAAGACAGAAAGGAGTACGGGCTGAGTAAGTATAGACTTTGTAGCTGTTTTCAATTGCTTCACATATTATCCATGTACTCATGGATGAATTGGCTTGGCAAAAAGGAAAGCCTTTATGAAATAAATTAGAAATTGAGTTATTCAACTGTATTTGCGACTTATGTGAATTATGTTGTTGAGTAGGGGGGGGGGGGGGGGGTGATGAAATTAATTTGTGATTGCCTTTGGGTGTTAGTTTTTATAATGTGTAACATCCTTTCTTGAAATTCCTGTGTTCTATTCCTTATGTGATGTCTTTCAATGATACGATATCTGCTCCGTGATGGTCTACAGAAATACAAGGCTTGTCTCAGCTTCCTTGACCAGTTTGAGCAGAGTTGCAGCTCACAGGCCAGTGTTGGACGACTGCGGAAACACCCGAGCTACACCTCTCTCATGGCTAAGTGGAGCTTGCCGGTTTACTTTCAGATCAGGTACAGACACATGCTCATGTGCCCTCTCTCATGCAAACTTGTGTGCAATCTCTCACACATGCTCACACACACTCTCTCATATTCACATGCCCTCTCTCTCACATACATAGATGCCCTCTCTCACAAGTGCTTGTCTATTGACAAAATTACTTATTTCAATGACCTTGTGCCTGACTGTCCTCATGTCCCCTTTAAGTTTGAAGTATCTTTGGAAAAAAAAATGTAAGTCATTGGTTTAATGTTCCTTGTGTGTATGTGCTGCTTTGACATTGTCTCAACTGTGTAATTTTCAGATTTCAAGATGTTGCTGGGCAGTTGGAAACAGCATTATGCTCTGGGTTCAGTTCTCCTTCAGGTTTGTAATTTAAACGTAAAAGACCGTTGTCATTTTGCACAAGGTTTTCATTTTCTTATTTTACTCGGGAAAAATATGTAAGCTGTCTAAAATAGTCCTAGTTCCTTCTAATACAATAGACATCTTTGTTGTGACAATAAAAGGAAATTCAGGGTTTTCTATGAGGTACTCTGCCCTTCTATGTCATTGTGGGTGGTTGAAAGGTGCCTCTGGTAGTTCCTACTTCTTTACTCTCCCTTTTTGTCTGTCTCGCTTTCTTGTTTTTTCATTATTTAATGACTGATATTTTTTGGATATGCAACCCTTTTCTTATACAGATGTCTTTGTCTGCTGCTTGTTATAGCTTATACACAACATGTCTTTACACTATTCCAAAGCTCTGGCACTGAAGTTTCAGAAGTTGTTGTGATAATGTATTGTCTTGTTTCTTTGACATAATTCCTTTGGGTTGATTGCGTGATTCTTTGACATAATTCTGTGGGATTGATTGCTTGATAATTGTTTGTTCACAGGAGAATGCGAGTTTCGTCTGGTGTCCACAAGTGCTGTATGGTCTTCTATGGCTCAATGCTGGCAGGATTCTTTCTTCTTGCCTGCACTTTTGCATAGGTAAGTGTCCTTTTCTTGTGTCCTTTTTTTGAAGCTTTTTAAGTGTTGAGAATCACAGCACTTTAGGGTGCAGATGACCGGTGGGTTTTAAGTTCTTTTCTACTTTTGGAGGTGAGGTGTTGGCTTCTTGATATTATTGTATTGATTGTTTCAAGACTACTATACTGTAAATGCTCACATAGAAATGCCGTTTGTTAGGTCGTTGTTGATACTGATCCTCCGTTGTATTGCCTTCCACACTTCTGTTTTGTGGCAGGAAGTGGTATGTGCAGGTTTTCTTCAACTAGGAGGTACAAAAGTAGAATTTATCTTTTTGACAATGGTTTCAATATCCCCCTACATTTGATTTTTGAAATTGTCTTGTGAGGGAAATGAAAGTTTCCTGCAATGATATGGTTTGAAGAATATGTTCAAATAAATTTTGAAAGTTATAATGTGGAATAAAAATGGAGTGGAAAAACATTGTACGACTCCTTTCAGGGTCATAGTCACAGAGCTGGTTCATAATTATCTACCATGTCTCTGCTAATTCTTTTTAAAGAAAATTGTCTAACCCCTCTCCTCCCCCATCCCAGTCCTCCTCCACACTCACACACACTCTCACACACACACACACACACACACACACACACACACACGTACACACACACACACATACACACACATACAAATCCTCTCATCACTTCTCCTCCCCCGGGCCCGACCAGACAGTCAGACAGTCAGGACGGTCAGACGGTCGGATGTCCCGGGATGCGGTAATTGTTTAAAATGTGGTCGGATCGATGACCCAGTCGTCTTTCCCTGCAGATTTACTGTCGGCGACGCGATACTAAACTCATAAACACTTCCCCTCTATTGTTGACTCGCTACGTTCTCGAAACCCCTGGCAGCTGTTTCGAATTACAACTTTGCTGTCCCTTGTTGGCGTGATTGAAACAGTTCAAAACAAATTATTCGTTCTAATTTTGTTTATACTGTCTTCACTGTCTGTGCAAATCCAAGAGAAAGGGCATCATTCTCCTCGGCGTATAAGGTTTCTCAGCCTCTGCCAAAAATAATCTTCGTCTGTGTGTGCGTGATTGATTGATTGTAAAATGTCTAACACCTTGATTGACACAATTTAGATCATTTGTGGGGCTGCTCGCCTCGACCCTTATTGGGCAAATGCAGCACGCCAGCGCAAGGAGGGGGCTACTAGGTGAAATATGCGAATATCGCAAGCTTTGAGTCCAGCACCTGTCAACGCGGTTGTATATCGAAGAAGAAGAAGAAGAAGAAGAAGAAGAAGAAGAAGAAGAAGAAGAAGAAGAAGAAGAAGAAGAAGAAGAAGAAGAAGAAGAA